TACTCTGACCAAATTCATCTTAGTCACTAGTGCAAAGGTCTCTTGATAGTTTTATCCAAAAAAAAAAAAAAAAAAAGAAGGAAAAAAAAAAGTCTCTTGATAGTCTACTCCATAAGTTTAAGTAAAGCCCTCTGCTACTAGTCGAGCCTTGTAATGCTCAATTGAACCATGCCGCTTTATGTTTCACAATATACACTCATTTGCATTCTACAAGTCTTTTGCCCTTAGGTAACTCGGTTAATTTCCAAGTGTTATGCTTGCGAAGTGCATTCATTTCTTCTATCATAACATGTAGCAAAAGCATTCTGAAAATGATTTAAGTATCCTAACAGAAGAAACTAGGCTCTATAAGAAGGAGACAAATTAGAGTAAGACACAAAGTTAGAAATAGGATGTTTAGTACAAGACCTCACACTTTTTCGTTGGGCAATAGGAATATCAAGATTAATATACACGGGAGGAATTAGGGTTTCAAAGTTACTTGGACTCTCATCAGAAGAAGAAGATAGCAGTGGATGATCAAAAGTGATCAAAGTAACTTTCTGTTTGTTTTTGTCCCTGACATAGACTTTTCCCTCCTTCAATTCATTAAGTTTTGTATTTCCACCATTGGTAGCCGGTTCACCTTCTGTGTTCTCAACCACTGGTGATGAGCCAGAAATTGATATAGACCCAGGAATCCCTTAACACCAAGGCTTCCCCTGAAGGGAGGACCGGGACCCCGAGGAGGACTGTGACAAAAAATAAGATTGTGTGTCTCAAAAATGTGACATCCATGGATACAAACCACTTACGAGATGGAGGATGGTAATACTTATAACCCTTTTGAGTAGGAGAGTAACTCAGGAAGACACACTTCAGAGAGTGGGGATCAAATTTACCACAAGAAAAAGTATGATTGTGGACAAAACAGACACAACCAAAGACTTTAGGGGGAATAGAGAACACAGACTCAGAATCTAAAAAAACCTAGAAAGGATAGTTTTTGTGCAACACTTGGGTTGGGAGACGGTTGATGAGGTAGGAAACGGTGAGAACTCCTCCCCCCCCCCCCCCTCCAGTAAGACCTAGGCACGTGCATAGAAAAAGACATGCAACAAGCTATATCAAAAGATGACGGTTCTTGCATTCTGCAACCCCATTTTGTTGAGGGGTGTCGGTACAAGAAGTCTAGTGACTAATGCCATGGGTGGAAAAATAGCTTGCTAGACCAGAATCAATATATACTCACCCCCATTATCAGAACGCAATATTTTGACAATCGTCCCAAATTGAGTATATATCATTTTATGGAAATTACAAAACACAAAAAAGATCTCACTTTTGTCTTTCATAAGATACACCCAAATAATACGAGAAAAATCATCGATAAAAGTAACAAACCATCTATGACTTTTTAAAGACACAAACCATCTATGACCTTTTAAAGACATAACATGAGATGGACCCCAAACATCAGAGTGAATTAAGGAAAAAAGTACTAAACTTTTATTAAAGCTTGGAGCAAAAGAAGCTTTGTGTTGTTTTCTAAGTTGACAAGACTCACAATGAAACTCAAAGATATTATTGTTTATAAAAACAAAAGAAAATAAATGCTTAAGTAATAGAAACGATGGGTACCAAGACTTTGATGCCACAACCACAGGTCTTCCTTGGTGGTTGAAAACATGATGGAATGAAGTGCCAGCTTGTCCTCTTGATCCAGGATGTAGAGACCATATTCTATTCTACCACTGCCAATCGTCTTCCTCATGATAAGATCCTGAAACAAACAATGATTAGGAAAGAAAGTTACACTACAATTCAGGTCATGAGTTAGATGACTCAATGATAAAAGATTAACAAATAAATTGAGAACATGCAAAACAGAAGATAATGGTATAAAAGGAGTGGCATGGATTAAACCTTTCTCAGAAACAAAAGAAATAGTACCGTCTGCATTCCTAACTTTGCCTTAACCTGAAGAAGGCTTATATGTCGAGAACAGATCAGAAGACCTAGACATATGATCCGAGGTACCAAAATTAATAATCTAAGGTAAAGACTTATGAGATAGACTTGAAAAAGCGGCTAAGTTATCTAAGTGGACAAAAGACGAGGAGGATGTACCGGATGGGGTAGTAGAAGAGCAACGATCCAGTAGGTGGTGCAAAGCATTCTCTAACTCAGAAGAAGACATTCCAGATATATCACCACTACATTAGGAGGAGCAACTGAAGAGGCCGTCAAGAGTATCCACTGGACTGGTATAATGTGCACGACCATCTAGAGTAACCACCACAACTACCAGAACAGTCATCACGACCATTAGAAGGAACCCTATGAAGCTTCCAACAAGTCTCACAGGTATGTCTCAGCCAGTGGCAATAATCACAGAATAGTGTATCCTTCTCTGAAGGACTAGGGGAAGTACAAGGTAGACCACTACCATCCCTAGAAGGAGCAGAAAATAAGGTTGAGCGCTCTGTAGAGGTAGGTGGCCGCATAGCATAACGACAGCTCTCCTCATTCTGTATGTATGCAAAGACCTCCTGAAGGGAGGGAAGAACCTCCATACCAAGGACGCGACTCCTAACAGGATTAAACTCTAATTTGAGAACTTCCAAAAATTTGAAGACCCTTTCCTATTCAATGAACTTTCGGTAACCCACTAAATCAGTTGCACAAACATGCTTATAATCCTATAGATAAGTAAGACGTTTCTAGCTATTGTTAAGAAAAGTGTAGTATTGAAGCACATCTCTTGCGCTGAGCGCTCAATAGAACGACACAACTCAAAAATTTGTGAGAAATTTCCCTTCCTGGAATAAATAGTGGCCACAGCATCCCAAATATCCTGGGCAATATCCATGGAGAAGTAGCCTTCCCAAATATCGGGTACCATGGAATGAATGAGCCATCCCATAATTAAAAAATTGGTAATCTCCCATCGGTTAACCAGGATCAGTGATGCCTGGTGCCTTGACCCTCCCATCAACATAACCCATCTTTCCTCTACTCTTCGAGAAAAGTGTCAGACACTGTGACCAAGCAAGATAGTTCTGACCATTAAACAGAGAGGTGGTGCTAGGATTTAGGTTTTCGGATGTATTAGTTGTAATGGGACTCTCATGACTAGGTGGCTAAGAAGTAGTGGTGGAACACTAGTAAGGTTGGCCATTTATACTTAACAAACCGAATAACCTGCACTAATCACAAATACTCGAAGAGGGAATAAAATCAACTGGACCAAGCAATATCAATCACAAACTATGATAGGAGCATACCAATCAGTCAAAGCTGGGTAATGGAGCCATATCACCTAAAAAATAAATAAACTAAATGTAAAAAGAACTTCCAATCAAAACAAGGGCTAAGCTATTCTTAAAAAAAAAAAAAAGGCAAAACCTTGCTAGACGTGAGGAACAGTGGTGGAGATGAACCAATCAAAACATGCAGTGGGTCAAAGAAGCCTTAGAGTGTCTGTCGGCTGAAGCCGAAATAGGCTGGGAGCCTTTCGGCTTAGGCCGAAACAGGCCAAGGAGCTTTCGGCTTGAGCCGAACAAGAAACAGGGACTGTTGGCTGGTCCTAGGTGCTCACCAGTGACTGTCGCAGGCCCTGGACAGAGCAGAGATGGTTGAAATACAGTGGGCAGCAGTCAGGTGGTGTTGGGTGAAGGTGGAGAATGAGATGGTAACCCTACAGCTCTAATACCTTGTTTGTTTGAGAGAGAAAAACAATGATTAGACAATCATCCCCTTTTATATTGATAATAGGTAGCTTACAATGGAAGCCTTGGAGGCACAAATAAGGAAATAACAGCTAATAGAATAATCAATACACAATAACCAAAGATTCTAACAAAAAGTAAATTGACTAGTGGTGCTAAAACTAATATCTACCATTCTTTGAGTTTATTTATTATACTATACTGAAATTTTCAAATTTTTTAACGAACATATCCTAGCTGTACCCGGAGCCCCTTTTTTTTATGTTTATCGTATCCATATCTATGCTTCGGAGTTCCCTTGTTTGCAACAATATCTCCAAAGAATAAGGATAGGGCTAATTGTAGACATCTTTTTTTTTTAAAAAAAAAAATCTCAGCATCTGTTATACACGTTGGCTCATCAATGCATCATATGGTAAGCCGTCTATACGTATTCCCTAACTGATTTATTGTAAATTAAGGGCTCATTTGGCAACATCACTTTTTAGCTTAAAAGTCAAAAAGTCATTAAAAAAATCAAAAAGCCAACAACCTATACTAAAAAGTCATAGATTTCCTTTTCTCTCTACTTTATACACATCTTTTTGTAAAAAACCAAAAAGTCATCCCAAACATACTAGTTTTTTTTTTTTTTTTTATCATGTTTTAGCCAAAAAGTCAAAATATTATTAAAAAAGTATGTTCCCAAACGATCAGTTGATACTGGCAGTAGTTCCGAAGACTAAAACAAATAAATAAATAATAGGGAGTTATGTTTCGGCTTGCTTTTTATTTAAGTTCTAGCAGTCAAGGATCGAAATATCTTTTTGGTAAAATTTTTCACTTAGCTTGGAAAGGGAAGTGCTTCGGAAGTAATTTAACATTTAAAAAATGGTAAAATTTTAGTAGTAGTAGGATTGAAGAAAAGTGACTTAATCATGCTTCTTTTATCTTCTCCTCTCTCCATCTCTCCTCTCTCCTATCTAGTTTTTCAGTTCTCTAATAAATTTAATACTTTTCTTTATCCTCAAATTATTTATGAGCATTGTTAAATATATCAGTGCCGAAACAACTCAATGTTATGGCATGTTGTGTATAGTTTGGTGTATTTTGGTGCATTTCAGTATGTTTTGGTGGAAACATTGAATTTCAATATTTCATTTTCTTAGGAAACGGAAACATCTGGACTGTTTTGAAGGAAAATAAACGAAATTTTGTACTTTGGTAGCAGTAGAGGTTTTTGCAGTCCCTACATTGGCATTTGATACTTTCCTTCAGTTAGGATTTTTAACTCAAGTTGAATTTGTGCAGTTATGCATCGCTTTATGCACGCTCTCTTCTTCAGAACCTCCGTGAAGATGGTATTTACATGAGGCCTCTGGGCAATGTTATTTACCTCATGTGTGGGCCTTGCACATCCCCTCTCATCTGCCGCCAACTACTGGAAAAACTTTACAGAAGACTTGAGGAGTTCGGCCAAGCCAATGAGAACTTGAAATCCTGTGAATTTTAGTTGTTGCAGCAGCTTATGATCTTCAGTTCTCAATTTTAGTATATTTTTATATTTATTCATCAGTTTGTAGTTCACCAATAAAAGTAGTATATCTTTGTTGGCTGAGCTTGGTTTTTGAATGTAATCTATTTATTCTTCTCTAGCCTCAAATATATTGAACTCAGACTTCCATTAAGGGTTGGACATTATGGGATTTTTTTTTTTTTTGAACTGGACATTATGGGATATTGAATCTCAATCATTTGCAAGTCAGGTTTCTCAAGCTTTTTTTTTCTTATTTTCTTTTCTTTATCTTTTTAGGTTTCCTTCTTCTTGTTTAGAAGGCTACCTTTCTAACTTCTGAAATCAATATCTCTCTCTGCCAGAATACCAGTGGCATTGGACCATGGTTAGGTTAATAAAATAAGGGTAAATTAGGCTGACCTCTTTGAGGTTTGAAAAAAATGCAGCAAGTCTGTAGTTTTGATATAATTATACTGACCTTCATTTTAAAGAGATCAAAATTAGTGTAGATAATATGCACACACAAAGATACTCATGGTAATATATTAATGTAAAAGTGATGACAATATTTATTTTGTATTCATACAACTAATAAATTTCTAATGACATGGGGGTTTAGTATTATATGAATTGCAACACTAAAAGAGTTTAATATAATTGTTAAATTTATGAAATTTATCATATATATATATTTTTTTAAATTTCAAGAGATGTCAGTGTAATTTTATTTAAAAATAATGTCAGTAGTTGGTACCTCATAAATATTCAGATTTTATCAACAAAAACAAAGCAACTTTGAGGAAGCATTAATTATTGCCGATAAAATATACTTCATTCTAATTTCATTTTGGTCTTGTTATTTTTAAGAGTTATTATTAGCACTTTATCAATCATTTTGTATTTCTTATTTTTTTTTAGTTTTTTTTTTTATTACAATAACAACCTTAAATAAAATTATTAAAATAGATATCAATTATTTTGGAACATTCCATCTCATAATTAAGCTCACGCACTCATTACATCATGAATTAGAGTTTATGAGAGTACCCTCTTCTACCACCCACTTATCTTCTCTAAATTCCACCTTCAAAACTCACCTACCCTCAAAACTTTAAAAATCCTTTGGCGGCAATATTTTAACGGTAACAGTAGCAACCATTTAATTACCTACACTTCTTCGACAATAACAATGAGTAGAAATTTTTTCAACAACCACAACTCTATGAGACGAGAGGAGTACAACAATAAAAATTTAGAGAAAGTTCATAACTTTAATGGTGTTCAGGAGATTGGCCTTATAAATGTAAGCTTCTTTAAAAAAAAATGACAAAAATAATAAAAATTGTTCGTCATTTTTTGGAGACTGAACTCCCAAACATATGATCAAAATTCGAGAATATAGGCCCGAACATTATTTATTTGTTCGGGCACAGGTAACTGAACCTTTCTTATTTGTTCAGGAACCAACTCCAACAATGATCAAATCGAAGAAAAGGATGAGGTGGCAGATATCACTACCTAAGCCAAGGCAATTGGGAGTAATCATACTCGACTCTTCTTTATCTTTTTCAAGCACAAAAATCCCAACACAATTTCTTGTTGATATATTCTAAGGATTAAAGATTAAAAACCCAGCATTAATTTTTTCACTATAAGGTCATGAACAAGGATGTGAAGATGAAATAGTAATCACCTTCGTGAGTTTTGTTAAGATTTTTGGGAAAGAGGTTTTTTAGGGTGTGGGGAGTGCATTCAATTGAATAGATAGAATGTTTTCACAAGGATAATTTTAGTATTATATGTGGGAGAAAAGAAATTTTAAGGGTTTTAAAATTTATAAGTGAGGTGCTAAAGAAATGGGGGTCCAAAATAATTGATAAAGTGCTAATAGCAACACTCTATTTTTAATTATAACAATCAACTCTTTATTCTTGAAGTTAATTTACCATGTTATCGTTTTGTCCATCTACTACTTAAATTGACGAAACTTATTTTATTTCATTAGCATCCATACATTGTAATTAAAATCTTACTTCAGTGGTGGTCGTGGTGGTAATTATGGTGCTGTGGTGGTGGTGATGGTTGTGGCGGGATGGTGGTAGTGGCAATGACAATAGTGGTAGTAGTGGAGCGGTAACAAAGGTGATGATAGTGGTTGGAAGTGGTGTAGTGGCGGTAGTGCAATAAGGAGGTAGAAGTGGTGAGTAAGTGGATTAAAACTGATATTCATAACTAATTCATCCATTTAAACTTATTTGACGGCTTTGAGCATATTGTAAGTAAAGTGTAATTGTGCAAGCTTGTTTGGTTTGTTTTTGGGAAAAAATTTTAGAAAAAATTCTCTACAAACCAATTTTCAAGAGTAATCAAACTAAATAAATTTTTTTTAAAAAAAAAATTCAAAATTTTGTTTGGTTTGCTTCTTTTCAAAATCACTTTCTCTCTCATACACATCAAATCAATCATTTTTTTAAAATTCTCTCCCAAAAATAATTTTCCAAAACCATTTTTGAAAAAATGCAAACCAAACAAGTTTTCGTACTTTTTATCTAAAAAACTACTCTACAAACACAAACCAAACAAGCTAGTATTTGAGATTGAGTTTATCACTAGTGATTTATTATTATTGTAAATATAAAAAAAATTGCAAAAATAGGCAGAAGTAGGGCATGTGTCTCCTCTTCATGGCCACCTCTGCACAATGAAATGCAACCTGTTAACTAGTAGGAAAATGCTAGGCATCATGAAAAATGCTTCACGAAAATGATCATGAACAACGCTGGCGCCGGACCGATTTGACGCATACCTTGATCATGGGAAATATTATGGTTGTATATTATAGGATCCAGTTTGTCTTTACTTCCTCCCTCCTAAAATAATTGTCTTTCTTTTGACGAATTTAACTTTTTTTTTAATACTATAATTATTATATTTTAAAAATATTATTTTTTTAAAATTACCTTTTGATAATATATTTTTTTGAAATATTAATCGTTATAATTATACTTTTTATATTATTAATAAATTTAAAAGAAGAGAAAACTAGTAAATTTATGTTATGTTATTTTATTTCTTAATTTTTGAAAAGAGACTAATATTTTAAGATAATAAAAAATAAAATAAGAGATTAATATTTTAAAATAAATAAGTAAAAAAAAATATCAAACACTCACATGAGTGATTGATAATTTTTTTAATAAATTATTTGATAATTAAGGTTGCTCTTTTTGAAAAGGCTACTACCCAATCAATATTGTTTTAGCCAAAGCACTAACATAAACAAGATGTCTTGTGCACAATAAAATAAAATAAAATAAAATAAAGTTGAACAAATATGGGGAAATTACTCATTAGTGGGGTTTTATAAAATATTTACAGACTAATAAAAAAGTTTATAAATTTGATTATTAATATTTATAAAAAAAAATTGTTAATTTTTTTTTTTTTAAAAGATATACTGATGTGTATTTTTTCTAACAAATATTATAGAATTGAACAGAATCCGTTTACATGAACTATGTATTCGATTTTATAATTAGTTTATATACAAGTAGAAAGAATTGAATATTTTAAAACTTGTTAGATTAATTTTCTTAACAAATATTACGCAGTCAATACAAATATATGAAGTTATTTGTTTTCTCAAGATAAATTTAATAAAAAGAAAATGTTATAATTATTAAATTAATTTAATTTTTTTTCTTAAATAATATATACATAGAATTTTATAAAATAAACGGTTTAAATAATCAAAACAAAACTCATGACAAGCACCCTTCAAGAAAAGAAATCCAGCTAAGGCAATTATACTTGGATGCGTAAACACACAATTCTAAAATCCACTTTTTAACATTCATTTTTAATTAGACTAAATTAGCATAATGTAATTAATTATAAATAAAAATGGGTAAATTGGACTTGTCATCTTCCTTAAGATTTATAGAAAATACAATTAGCACTATATTTTTGACCTAACTATATAAACATCTTGTTTGAAAATAGAACTCAATAGAAAATAGATGATAATATAATTTTTCCTCATTCATACTACTAACAAAAAACTGATGAAAATGGTGTAAATCAAAATTTTAAAAGAGATCATTATAATTATGTCAAAAATGTATGACTAAATGTAATTTTCCTAAATCTTAAGGGATATGAGGGCAATTTAACCGAGAAAAATTAATAGGTTTAAATTTAGAAAAAATTGGTGATAAATCCATATTCTCACTCCTATAAGTCTTTGAGGACAATAATGAAACTATTGGGGTCATAAGAACATTTGTTGGTCAAAAAGACATTACCACTTATCTATTAAAATTTTTATTTTAACTTATCTATTCAAATCTTTTTTCTATCCGTTCAATTTTTGGAACCTATCTATTCAAATTTGTATCTATTTGTTGAAATTCACCAAGCTATTTTTTCTTATCTGTTGAAATTCACTAAGCTTTGTTTTTTTTCTATCTGTCCAATTTTTATTCTATATGTTCAAAATCTAATACATACACACAAATAGAGGAGAGAGAGGTCCTATATGTCAAAATCTTTTTTTTTTTATATTTATTTATACAAAATCCAACTCCCTCTCACTATCTCTTTCCACAAACCCACTTTCTCTCACTATCTGTTTAAAAAAACTATAGACAACTCCAAGTGCACCAAACAGAGCATATAACTCAATTTCAATAATTTAGGATTACAAAATACAAAAAAAAAAAATGAAATGAAGTTATTGAAATAGAGGCTTGAAGGAAACTCGCCTCAAGAAGATGATATGCATTGGAAGTCATTACTTGATTCTCTAGGCTTGATTTTTTAAACTTTCTCATTCCATGATCAAAATGAGAATCAAGTAATGGCTTGATTATCTAGGCTTGATTTTTTAAACAGCAGAGAACAAAGTGAGAAGAGAGAAAAAGAGAAACCTTCTTCTACTAACCTTGGGGAGTAAGAAGATCAAAGAGACGAATATGAAGTATAGGAGTAGATTAAAAAAGAGAGAGAAAGAGAGCTTCGGCGAAGGATAGGAATAAATTGAAAATGCTAGGAGTAAATCGGCGCCGGAGATAGAACTCCATGATCAGAATGTGAATATTCGTTAGAGGTGAAGTAACTCGGTGCTATAGATGGAGAATCTGACGATCGGATCAACACTAGAGAAGGAACTTGTGATGTTCTAAGA